ACAAGGCTCCAGGAATTGACGGAATATCAACTGAGATGTTTCAACAAATGGCTGCAGCACTGGAAGTGCTCACTTGTCTATGCCAAGAAATTTGGAAGACAGCTACCTGGCCAACCTACTGGAAGAGATCCATATTTATGCCTATTCCAAAGAAAGGTGATCCAACCAAATGCAGAAATTATCAAACAATATCATTAATATCACATGCAAGTAAGATTTTGCTGAAAATCATTCAAAAGCGACTGCAGCAGTATATAGACAGGGAACTGCCAGAAATTCAGGCCAGATTCAGAAGAGGATGTGGAAAGAGGGATATCATTGCTGATGTCAGATGGAACCTGGCTGAAAGCAGAGAATACCAGAAAGATGTTTACCTGTGTTTTTTTGACCATGCTAAGGCATTCAACTGTGTGGATCATAACAAATTATCGATAACATTGCAAAGAATGGGAATTCCAGAACACTTAATTGTGCTCATGAGGAACATGTACATAGATCAACAGGCAGTTGTTCGGACAGAACAAGCAGATACTTCTGGTTTAAAGTTAGGAAAGGTGTGCAACAGGGTTGTACCCTTTCACCATACCTGTTCAATCTGTATGCTGAGCAAATAATTCGAGAAGCTGGACTATATGAAGAAGAACGGGGCATCACGATTGGAGTAAGACTCACTAACAACCTGCATTATGCAGATGACACAATCTTGCTTGCTGAAAGTGAAGAGGACTTGAAGCACTTACTGATGAAGATCAAAGACCACAGTCTTCAGTATGGATTACACCTCAAAATAAAGAAAATAAAAATCCTCACAACTGGACCAATAAGCAACATCATGATAAATGGAGAAAAGATTGAAGTTGTCAAGGCTTTCATTTTACTTGGATCCACAATCAACACCCATGGAAGCAGCAGTCAGGAAATCAAACAATGCATTGCATTGGACAAATCTACTGCAAAAGACCTCCTTAAAGTGTTAAAAAAGCAAAGATGTCACTTTAAGGAGTAAGGGACACCTGAGCCAAGCCATGGTGTTCTCAATCGCTTCATATGCATGCAAAAGCTGGACAATGAATAAGGAAGACCAGAGAAGAACTGATGCCTTTGAATTGTGGGGTTGGTGAAGAATATTGAATATACCATAGACCACCAAAAGAACAAACAGGTCTGTGTTGGAAAGTACAACCAGAGTGCTCCTTAGAAGCAAGGATTGCGAGGCTATGTCTCACATACTTTGGACATGTTATCAGAAGGGATCAGTCCCTGGAGAAGGACATCATGCTTGGTAAAGTACAGGGTCAGCAAAAAAAGAGGAAAACCCTCAACAGGATGGACTGACACAGTGTCTGCAACAATGCGCTCAAGCATAACAACGATTGTGAGGATGGCGCAGGGCCAGGCAGTGTTTCGTTCTACTGTTCTTAGGGTTGCTATGAGTCAGAACCAACCCGATGGCACCTAACAACAACAACGACAAAAATAGAAGATAGGCAAAGAAGATCCAACATATGTACAATAGGAGCCCCCACGCTACAAGGCAGAAAACCAAAGGAAAAAACAAAACAAATGCTAAAAACTGTAATTCAAGAAAGTTTTCTGAAATTAAGCAAATATTTGAATATATTTTTTTAAGGAAGTCAAAATCAACCCAGAACAAACACCACTAAAAGATATTCTAGTAAAATTTCCAGACTTTAAAGAAAAATATAAAATTATTTGGACATCTAGACAAAAAGATCAAGCTACTTACAAGGGAAAAAAAATCAGATTGTCATCAGGCTTTTCAGGAGGCATACTTTGTTCTAGGAGAATTGCCAGAAAGGGGGCAAGGATGGAGGCAGGGATAACTGATAGGAGACAGAACAAACAGGATTTGTTGATGGATCAGGCATGAATAGTGAGAGAAAGAAATGAAGCAAAGATGACCTGAGCAGCTAGAAGGATGGAGTTGTTATTTAATGATACGATATGGAGGAGACTGTGTAAGAAACAGGTTTGGGGAAGGGAATGTGCTAACACTTGTACATATTACGTTTTAAATGTCTCTTAATAATCCATGTGGGGAGCTGAGTAGGCAGCTATATAAAGAATCTGGAATTCAGCTGAGGTCTGGGTTAGAAACATATATTTAGAAATCATCAGTATATGGAAGCTATTTGGAGTTATAAGACTGGGTAAAATCATCAAGGTAGTGAGTATAGTGAACATTCCCCTGTTCAAAACTCCACATTAAAACCTTGCAATAAAACCCAAAGCCCTATGTGTGACTCCCTCTCCAACCTCCACTCCTACCATTCCCCACCTCATTCTCTTAGGTCTAGGCACATACACCATCTTTCTATCCCTTGAATAATCTCATTCCCATTTCAGGGCTTTTATACTTTCTGTTCCTATGACCAGGATGTGTTCCCCCAGGTGCTTGCATGCCTGTATCCTGACATCATTCAACTCTCTGCTCAAATGTCAGCTCCTCAGAGAAGTCTTCTGACACCCCATCTGAAATATCTGGCCCCAACCTCATTCTCTGACCCCTTAATCTGCTTTATTTTTCCACCACTTACAAATTGCCTGTTCCTGTGGCTATTGTTGTGTAACAAATTACCCCAAAATTTAGCAGTTTAACACGATCGTTTTATTATGCCTGTGGATTCTGTGGGTTAGGAATTTGGACAGGGCACAGAGAGGATAACTTGTCTCTCCTCTACAACATCTGGACCCTCAGCAGGGAGGACTCAAAGGTTAAGGGTGACTCAACAGCTGGAGTTTAGGGTCATCTGAATACTTGCTCACTCATATATCTAGCACCTGAGCAGGGATGACTCAGAGACTATGACTGCTGACCAGAGGTGTACACGTGGCTTCTCCATGTGGCTTGGCTTCCTCACAGCATGAGCCTCAAGATAGACAGACTGCTTAGCTGGCGGTGCAGAGAGCCCAGTGCAAGCGTCCCAGCAAACAAGGCAGAAGTTGCATCGCCTTTTATGGCCCAGCTTCAGAACTCATACAGTGTCACTTCCCCCACAGTTTATTGGTCAAAGTAGTCTCGAGTCTAACAAGGATGAGACATAGACTCTATTTCTTAAAGAGAAAAGAATCAAAGAATTTCCTGCCACATTGCCCTGAGATATATTCTCAGTTTTGAGCCCTTCTCCCCAAGCCTGTTACCAGCTGCCTATCCAAAGAGTTAATTCTCCCTCATGTTCCTCTGTTGACCCTGTGACTATCTTGCTGTAACTATCTCCCCCTACCCTAGGGAGAAGACTGCATTCTCAGCTGCTCTAGTATATATCAAGAAGTCTTTCCTTGATATAAGACCGTGACTCCACAAAATGGAGAACACCGTGTCTGCCTCCTTACAGCAGGACTTCCAAATCTGTCAACAGCCCCTCCTCCATAATGGATAGTTCCTCTCCATTTTACAACCTGGTCCCTGTTAATCCTCTGTAACTTCTTGTCAGGACTTCTTAAAGGGATGAAATATTTTTTATGAACATTGAAAAAAACCACAGAAACACAACAAAAGAGTTATTAAACAAGTTCACAGAGGCTTCTTCACAATGCCATCTGATTGAAAATAAATGGACAAGAAAAATTCATTCCAGACCGAAATGAGCAGTTATTTTCCTAAATGGAAAGAAATGCTTTTCCTTCGACCATCAAAGCCCCAAAAAATGCCACCAAGACTGTTGAATAGCATTAACTTGAGACAGGAAACCATATGACTGGAAACCCAGCTACCCGGGTTTATTCATATTTACGCCCACAGATTCACCCTTTGGCCTGAGCATACTTGACTCAAGAGAAGAGCTGCATACGCCCAAGCACCTAGCACCAAGTTTTAGAAGCTTAACATTATACTGACCAACAAGAATTTCTCTTGGAGTAAACCTAAGGCCGGGTATCAATTGTGTGAAATAAGCGGACAGAAAGAGGCAGAGACCACATCCCGAAGGGAGATCAGTTGAAGCAAAACAAAGAAAGAGAACGATCAGACCCAAAGCCAGATCCCACACACAGGCTAGGACATGGCTTGAGTTGTCTGGAAGCCATTCCCAGACAGAAACCTCAGTGTGATGAATCAGTTTCCTTGGACATTGAGGGGATAAAGAGCCTGCTGCAGACACAGGGCATATTTATTCAAGGAATGGCTGTGAGAATTGGGCATGGGCAGAGGTGGAGGGGGGGCAGGGGAGTGGGGAGTGTGTGGTGGGGAAAAGCCACTGTGAATCCCCAGTCTAGACTGTGAGTGTAGCCCACAATGCACAGGGAAAAGCAAAGCATCTAAAAGAAAGGGCATATTTGGCAAAAGCCAACTGAGCCTAGCTCTGAAATGACTGGTTGTGATACCAGAGTCAGGTATTGCAGACGACTCTAAAACTCACAGAGAGGAGAAAACAGAGACGATTAACAAAAGATGTTAATAGAAGCGCAGGCCTTCTTTTCTGTCCTGTAAATCAAATTCCGTTACAGATAATGCCATTTAAAAAAATGTCTACTCCTCTAAATAGCAAAGATTTCCAAGTTCTAGATTAAGGCTCCCTTATATCAAGCAGAAGGTCCCTGGGTGGCACAAACGATTTGCACTCAACTACTAACCTGAAGGTCGGCAGTTTGAACTCATTCAGCAACACCATGGAAGAAAGGCCTGGCAATCTTCTTCCATGAAGATTACAGCCAAGACAACCCTATGGAGCAGTTCTACTCTGTAACACATGGGGTCACTATGAGTCAGAATCGACTCAACGGCCACAGATTTGGTTTGTGCTTTGGTTTTATATCAAGCTATATATATATAGTTTTTTCTGTATATATAGTTTTATATATATATTACATACATATATACCAGTTTGTTGTACTGTGGTGGCTTGTGTGTTGCTGTAATGATGGAAGCCATGCCACCAATATTTCTAATACCAGCAGGGTCACCCATTCTGGTACTTACTGAGGTTTCAGCAGAGCTTCCAGACTAACACGGACTGCAAAGAAAGGTCTGAAGATCTACTTCCGAAATTCGGTCAATGAAAACTCCATGGGTCACAGCAGAATATTGCCCGATATACCGCTGGAAGATAACACAGAAAATGGCAACGTTTTGTTCTGTTGTATATAGGGTCTCCATGAGTTGGAGCTGACATGACAGCAACTAACAAAAACAACAACATATCAAACAATACGATTACATTACAGTATGAAAACAATGTTTTGACTTGTATTGCTCAGGACTACCAAGTGCCTTGAGATGGATGCCATGAATCCTCATGCTCAGACAAGACAGAAAAAGCCAGCATTCGGCCAGCAGAGTGTTCTACATTATACCCTTCTAAACAATGGCACTCTGGCATGCCTTCTCTTTCACATTCCACCCTTAAAGGCTAGTCATTTGTGACCAGCCCTACAAATGCCCAGTAAATGCCGGGATGCTTCCGGCTATTAGAGCAACTGTTTGCGGGGACTGGAGTTCTAGGCTATTTTCCCTTTAAGTGTTTTCATATTGAAAACAATTCACACTTATATTGCACTTTCGTGCTTGGGGGCATTTTACAACATTATCTCAATTTAATCTTCACGAGACCCATGTGAGGTAAGCATGACGGGATTTGGTCTGACTCATGCACATGCGCTTGTGACCAGAAGCCCTGCTCTCTCTCAGGGAGAGAAGGGAGGCACGTGGAAGGATGGAAACACGCTCCCTGCTTTGGGTTGCTACGGTCCAGGCCCTCCTCATCCTCCAAGAAGATAAACCAGTTTGGGGGCACTAAGGGTATAAGTGCCACGTCAGTGAACTGGAGGGACCATATGGCAGGGCTTTGGTGTGTGGGGATCTGAAGAGGGAGGGAAATAGGGCCTCAGAGGAAGGCTGGGAGAAAAGGACTCAGAGTCACCGGGGCTGGGAGCCCAGAACATTCTGGAGCCAGTGCCGTGGGACAAGGAGCAGCGTGAGGGGGGTACATGAGTGTACAGTGGCTGGGTGGGACCAGAGTGCCAAGCCCAGCACTGAGAACAGCAGACAGCTTGCCCCCCTCACGCTGGAATGTGAGATCTCCCTGGTAAATTTCTGGCCACTGTAGAGGGAGATCATCACCATCTTCCCCTAAGTAGAGTCAGCGTCCTCCCAGTGCTGCACCTCCAACCCAATGCCAGATGGCTAAGCCACCCCACAATATCCCAGACACTCTAAGCCCTAAGGGGGCCAGGGAGGGAGAACTTCCACTCCTGTTCTTTGGAGCCAGAGTGGTGCACTTTGGATCATCACCCAAGCCAGGGCCAGATGGAAGTGGGTGCCATCTTTACACTGGCCTTATTATTTTCGTCTTTACTGATAAGTCCATTAAGGCCCAAAGAAGTTAAAGAACTTTCAATATCTCACAGTTGGTGAACCACCAAGCCAGTCCTCTGACTCACCTGATTATCTGGTTATCCCACACTCACATTCCAAAGGTCAACAAGTGCCAACACCTGGGCTGTTCACTTGGAACTAGAGGGAAGCCCTGTGCTCCACACGTCCCTCATTTCCCTGGTCCAGTGATCCTCTAGCTCTGGGATCCTGACCTGGAAAAAGCAGCAACTCTTAGGTCAATGTGTTTAGTCCCTGTCTCCTGTAGAATGAGCACAGTCCCTCTAAACACCCTTGGTCTCCTCATGACAGTGTTCCCTTTGTCCCTGCTATGGACCTGCTTTATAAGATGAGAGATCCCTCTTCATAATAAAGCCCTTTTAATGCTGAAAACATTAAAAACCTTTGCTTGAGGACAACTCCCCAAGACTATTGCCCTAAGATACTCTTCAAAACTTGAACCGAAACTAACTCCTGAGGTTACCTTGGAGCTAACTAACAAATTGGCTCAAAAAATAATGAATATCACCCGTAAGTACTGTGCTCCTTTTAAAAAAAAATCACTATATGAGACCGAACACTCAATAATTACTTTAAAACAAAAATGAGAATGTAAGGGGGCAGGGAAACTAGATTAATGGAAACTGAACAACTAGAATGGAAATAATGAGACTGTTCATGCATTGCAAAGAATGTAACCAATGTCACTGAAAAACTTGTGTAGAAATTGTTGAATGGGAACCTCAACTGCTGTGTAAACCTCCACAGAAAACATAATAAAATATTATTAAGGAAAAAAAAAAAACCTTTCCTTGAAAGGAGTCCCAGACAGACAGAAACGGTTTATACAGAGTTCCCTGGAAGCTGATAGCATTTTAGGGCAGTCCCAGCTGCAGTCACCCATGAAGTGGCTCAGAGGAAAGGGACTATCTTGTGACCAGACAGAAGAGCCCTTCTTTCTGTACTCTGCCTGTGAAAGAAGCAGCTGTGCTGTGTTCCTCTGTCCAGGAAACTGGTGACCAACTCAGAGAAAACTCAGGGAAAAGCAACAAAGATGATTAATGAGCTAGAAAAGCAAGTGATGGCCTTGGGGGACCATTGCCAGGGCGGGATAGTGTCACTTGCCAGATCCACGCATGTGAGAGGGAGTCAGCCACAAACAGAGAGAGGAGCTATTGAGCCAGGCCCCAGGGAGGGTGAGCGCTGTAGGAGTGATGGAATGAAATGGAGAGGAAAGGAAAATGTCAGCTGAAGATCAGGAACCAAGTCTTCGCGCAGGGCGTCTCCCAGGGCAGGGATGGAAAGCTCGTTGGTTTTCGTTGTGTAATGAGAGGCTAAGTTTCAGGCAAGCGTGGCAGCAGCACCAGAGAGATGGGGAAAGTCCACCGAGGCTCTGAAAGCAACATCTGGGTATTTACAGCCCCATGATGAATTAGAATCTTTGGGAAGGGGTAGCTGGCTAACCAGACCTGACAGCAGCAAGGCTCCTCAACTCTGTGAACGCCAGCTTTCCTCCAGGGCCCAGCACTCCTCTGTCCCCCACCCCTCGGCGGTTGCTGTGATTTATATGATAATAACTTTCCCTAACATCAACCTGGGAGCTTGGTGACAAGTCATCTTTTCTTGGTCCACTGAAGTCCCGGGAACCATTAAGGAAGTTTTGTCCCTGTCTGTAAATCACTGCCTTAGTCATGCAACATCACTTTTAAACAACTGAGGGGGTTGTTTTTAATTCCCTTAGACTATGCAGCATAGATGCAAATACTGGTCTGAATGCAGCCTTTGTTCCTATTGTTCTTGTACACATCATCCCCAACTATCTCATTTTATGCGGGAAGCTGCCTGCCCCAGTGTCATGTAATTTTGGCCACGTTACATGAGTAGATGAGCGGGAGGGGTGGTCGTGGGGGCTGCAGTCAAGGGGGGGATGCTGGGATTCCATCTGGAACATTGACTTATGGCCCGGCCTCCCGGACAGGAGTTATTTTTGCAGCAGCCCCTCACCCCAGACACTCTTGCTGTCTCCTCCACAGGCCCCTCCTCCACAGCCACTGCTTTCACCTGCTGCCTTTTATCACCTCAGAAATGCCCACCACACCCTGGGTTCTGTGTCAGGTCCCACCACTCTCAGCTAGCTCACTAGCTTTTGCAAGTCAATAAAAACCACCAAACCAAACCTGTTGTTGTGGAGTCAATGCCGCTATTCCAATAGCGACCCTATTGGACAGAGCAGAATTGTCCTATAGGGCTTGAAGAAGCAGCTGATGGATTTGAACTTCCAACCTTTTGGTTAGCAGCTGAGCTCTTAACCACTGAGCCACCAGGGCTCCCTGCAAGTCAATAGGCACCACAAAGAAGGGAATTTCTCAGCCTGCACCAAGCTTTGACAAGTGACTGTGTTTTTAAATCCCAAAAAGCCTCCCCGGAGGGCTCCAATCAGAAGCCCTAGAGGGTTGGCTTCTCAGGAAGGGCTCACACATGCCTTGCCTGCTCTTCTGGGGTTAGACGGTTTTGGTTAGAGTTGATGGCATCCAAAGCTATGGGATTCCTAACCCAAACTCCTCACCCTGGCTCTTCAGAAGCTTCTTCCACCTGGAGAAGCCACTTTAGCTCTCTGGAGGTCATATCCTTCTAGTCTACCACATTTCTCTGCAGAGGCAGAAAACTCAAATAATTCCGCGTGGAGAGGATGTGCACATATTCTTATATTTGACCTTCTTATATTCAACAAGGAGTCCCTGGGTGATGCAAACTGTCAATGTGCTGGACAACTAACTGAAAGGTTGTAGGCACCTTGGAAGAAAGGCCTGGTGATCTACTTCCAAAAGGTCACAGCCACTGAAAACCCCATGGAGCACAGTTTTACTCTGATACACATGGGGTGGGGTTGCTGTGAGTCAGAGTCAACTCAGCGGCAACTGGTTTCTTACTGGTTATGTTCAATGAACGTTTATTCGATAGCATTTTGTTGTTCACCTAGTTAGAGCCGTAGTATTGTGCAAATGATAAAACTCAAGGCTCAAAGCATTGAAGACATTTGTGTAACATCATATACTTTGTTAAGGGGCAGGGCCAAGTTTCAAACCCAATCCTGTCTTATTCCAAAGCCCCTGACTTTTCAGTGATGTCATATGTTCTGCAATTAGTCCTACAAAATGTTTGTTTGGACTGAACTCTCTCAGACCGAGTGGTCATCTGAAGACAGCCATATTTGTCACGACTATTGGTGACAAGTAGCTTTCAAATAAATAAATAAATGAACAAAGTGTTCCATCACGGAAAAGTCTGGGGTTGGATTTTAATCATGGCTGAACCCAGGGGCTCAGACAGCATTCTCAAGCATTTGCCTCTTTCTAGGCCTTGCTCTGCTTTCATCATTTTGATATCATTCTTAAATCCATCTTCCCTCGAGGAAGGAAAATGGCTCCTGGTGACCCCAGACTCACATCCTCACTTAGCAACCCAGAGGAAAAAGAGTTTTCTGTTCTATTAGCTCCAGTAACAGTTTCAGGAACGAGTCTTGATGAACAAATTTCTATCAACGTATTTATCCTTTAACCAATCACTGTGTTCAGAAGGTTGGAATTTGCTGAGAGCCCAAGCCTGGACTGTGCAGTCACCCCTGAGCCTGGGGAGGGGTCACACTGTTTACAGAAAAAGGGGGCACAGAGCAGGGCAAGCAAAACAGCCAAGGATTAACACAATGGCCCTGATGAAAAATTACGAGGTAGAACCTTCAACACGCAGCCGGCCCCCTGCCTACCTCCCTTGCTTTTTCTTTAGTCCTTTCTCTCTGACACCAAGTCCTCGCTCACTTGTGCCTCTTCCCTACCTTCTTGCCCTCCAGCTCCTACAAGTTCTTCAACACTCAGCTCAGGCAACAGAGGCTTCAAGGTCCTCGGGCTTCTTAAGAGAGCTTGCTGTCGTCAATCAGGCAGCCATAGGAGGATGGTGCCTGTCTTAGTCATCAAGCGCTGCTATAACAGAAATACCAGAAGTGAATGGTTTTAACAAAGAGAATTCATTTCCTCACAGTAAAGTAGGCTAGAAGTCCAAATTCAGGACATCAGCTCTAGGGGAAGGCTCTCTCTCTCTGTCGGCCTTCTCATCAATCTTCCCCTGGACTAGTAGCTTCTCCACGCAGGGACCCCCGGGGTCCAAAGGATGCACTCTGCTCCCAGCGCTGCTTTCTTGGTGGTATGAGGTCCCCAGATCTCTGCTTGCTTCCCTTTCCTTTTATCTCTTGTAAGATAAAAGGTGGTGCAGGCCACACCCCAGGGAAATTTCCTTTACATTGGATCAGGAATGTGACCTTAATCGGGGTGTTACAATCCCACCCTAATCCTCTTTAACATAAAATTATAATCACAAAATGGAGGACAACCACACAATACTAGGAATCATGGCCCAGGCAAACTGATACACACATTTTTGGGGGGACATAATTCAATCCATGACAATGCCTCTACCCTAACCCAAAAGAGCAAAAACAACTCCAGAAGCTTTGGAGACCACAGGAAACCCTGGATTCTCTGCATGTGAAAACAGGGATGGCAGTCACTCACACAGCACACTACTGGTATTGTTCAGGGAAAACCACTAAAAGCAGAAGGGAATTCTGGCCCTGTGGGGCCGGGGGCTTTTTGTAGAAAGATGCAGAGGGACACGTAGTAGGCATATGAAAGCCAAATCAGTGGCCAGTCTGCCAAAATCCTTGAGGGCAACAGCCAAGAGGCTTCCTGAAGCATGCACTGTGGCGACAGGGCTCAGGAGAACATTGGTCCAACTCCATCATTTATGGTCGGGGAAACTGAGGCCTCCAAGCTGAAGCACTCTGCCCAAGGTCACACCTAAAACCAGCCTCAGCAGGGAGAATAAACACTTATTGGGAACCACTGGGCATCATTTTGGAACAGAAGCCCATACCAGCCTCAAACCTTTTCTCCTACTAAGGTCCTTCTCTACCCCTCCAACTCCCCACACGCCCTGCCCTTTCCACCTATGGGATGTCTGTTGATCCATCCACTCCTCTCCACACCAGCTCCTACACCACACCGAGCCCCCCTCACCTGTCTTACAGAAAGTCTAGCAATGGCCTCTTCCCCTCCACACCTCCTCCCATACCGTAGCCAGAGTGATCTTACACAATACACCTGATGCCCCCACACACACATACCCCTCCAGACTCACTGCTGGCCTCCCTCACCCTCTTTCTGTCCTGCAGCCACCACAGCCTTCCTCTGCTTTCTCCAGTAACCCTTGCTCCCTACAACCTCAGGACCTTGGCTCACACTGGACTTTCCCCCCACTCTCAGCTAGGTGAGGACTATGTAGCCTCCATAGGGCAACTCTGCTCCTGGGACCCCCATAGGGCAACTCTGCTCCTGGGACCCCCCCAATAGGGCAACTCTGCTCCTGGGAGCACCCCCATAGGGCAACTCTTCTCCTGGGAGCCTCCTCAATAGGGCAACTCCATTCTTGGGAACCCCTCCCCCCACAGGGCAACTCTGTTCCTGGGAGCACTCCCCCAAGACCTGCATGTGGAGGGTAAGCTGGGACTGGGCAGTGGGAGGGAGTTGGTTGCTGCCTGCAGAAACGTTAGCATCTCCACATAGGATTTGGGAATCATGCCATCTCCTCACAGGCCCCAAGAGTGGGTCTCAACCTTGGGTGCACATTGGACTCACCCCATACACAGAGATTCTGATATAATTGTTCTAGGGTGGGGCCTGGGCCTGGTGGTTTCAGAGCTTACCAGGTGAGTCTAGCGCTCAGGCAAGGTTGAGAGTTACTGCCCTAAACAGTGCAAGGCTCTCCAGTGGGCTGTCCTATGGATACTTTTTCTGTGTGATTCCCATGTGCCAGTCACTGAATTAAGCACTCTATGGCTCACTTCATTTCAGTCTCACCAAAGCTCTTTGAAATGGGGATAAGTATCAACATTTTAAAGATGATGAACATCAAGCTCAGAGAGAGGAAGAGACGTGCCTAAGATTACCGGGCTCCTCGAGGCCAATCCAGAGCATGAACCCAGGTGCATTACCTCCACAGCTCATGTTCCTGACCATCCTAGATACTGCCCCGCCCAGGTTCCAATTAGGCACACAGACAAAGCCATGCTTTCATAGTCATCTCAAGTACAACATATAGGTGTGCAACCAAGAAGAAGTCACAGGAAATAAGTGCCCAAAGTAGAGAAACACATGTTTAGTTCTGGATGTCAGGCCCTGCAAATGCCACAAATAATGCATATAAGCACAGGGTCGGATTACCCAATAAGCAAGGTACGCATGGGCTTGTTTGTGCACACTTACTGCTGATCAGTGGTGAACAATTTTACCTGTTTTTCACCACATCTTTGATATGGTGAAAACCATGTGAAATACTGGTTAATCTGCCCCTACAAAAGCATGTCCGTCAATCACTGTAAACAAACTGTAAAGTGCCTTTTAAAAAGATCAGAGTCATGAGTGTACCAAAAAATCAGATTTGGTGGCGCACTTTTCAAGGGCACATTGCTTAACTGATGTCCTCTGCTTTCTTTCTTTAAAAAATCTAGTTCAAGTGCATTTCCAGAAGCTACTTGAAACATATAAAAGGCAGGTGCTGGAAGGCTCTGGGCCTTCCACTCAACCATTTGTTGTGATTTTTTTTTTTTTTTAATTTAGTCCATACCAGTAATCCATGACCTGATTAGACATAAAGAGATTTCAAATTATTGAGATAATTTAGTTGTCTAACATTTAGATACTGCTTTACTATTTTCAGGAGCCCTGGTGGCACAGTGGTTAGGAACTCAGCTGCTAACCAAATGGTTAGCAGTTCAAATCCACCAGCCGCTCCTTGGAAACCCTATGGGGCAGTTCTACTCTGTCCTATAGGGTTGGTATGAGTGAGAATTGATTCAACAGCAATGAGTTTGGGCGTTTTTTCTGGTTTACTATTTTCAAAGTAGCTCTGGTAGGGCAGTGGTTAAAGCCCTCTGCTGCTAACCAAAAGGTCGGCAGTTCAAACCCACCGTTTCACGGGAGAAAGATGTGGCAGTCTGCTTCTGTAAAGATTAACAGCCTTGGAAAACGTATGGGGTCGCTATGAGTCGGAATCAAATCTACGGCAGTGGATTTGGTTTTTGGTTACTATTTTCAAAGTACTTTAACACACCTTATTTCATTTGAATAGCAGATAACAAGTGTGGGCTGTTATGGATAGGGGCCCCAGTGGTGCAGTGGTTAAGAGTTATGGCTGCTAACCAAAGGGTTGGCAGTTCGAATCCACTAGCCACTGCTTGGAAACCCTATGGGGAAGTTCTACTCTGTCCTGTAGGGTCACTATGAGTCAGAAGCAACTCGACGGCAACGGGGTTTTATTTTTTTATGATTATGAATAAATATATCTGCTGCATTATCATCTCCAAACAGTTTTAAGTAACACAAATTAAATAAAAATATACAGAAATAAGATGCTCCTTAAGGAAAGCAGCACACACTCATGAAGTTATATTTTACAAGATTAGCAAAGCAGTGAGCATAATTAGAAGTTAAAAGCATGTTTCTTGATTCTTTCATTTCCAGCAACAGGGCAGACTAATAAGATGACTAATTCTATTGCTGAAATTAACACCCATCTGTCAGTTTGCTGTATTATGATAACTTGCGTGTTGCTATGATGCTGGAAGCTATGCCACCAGTATCTGTAATACCAGCAGGGTCACCCATGGTGGACAGGTTTCAGTGGAGCTTCCAGACTAAGACAGACTAGGAAGAAAGGCTTGGTGATCTGCTTCAGAAATTAGCCAATGGATCACAACAGAATATTGTCTGACTGGAGTCAAACATACTAGTGATTGTGAAGATGGTTCAGGAACAGGCAACGTTTTGTTCTGTAATATGTAGGGTCGCCATGAGTTAGAGCCAACTCTATGGCAGTTAACAAAAACAATAGCTGAAAACAACTCAAAATATTGAACAAAATACTTTTTAAAGTTTCTGAAGAGCATCAAGAAACTAAGAAATAATTAGAGGCTAGACACTAAATAAAATCAGGAATCTAAAGCAGTCTAAGTGAAATTAAGAACCTAGAGATCACCAAAGTCGGCTTTCACCTTAAGGACATTTGACAAGCTCAGTAACTTGAGCTCTAATTTTCTATGCCTTCAGAAGTGCAAAAAACAGAAGGCAAGGTTGAGAGTTTAATAAGAAACATCCAAAGCCCCCTGTGAAGCTGGTATCCATGAGAACTACACTTGTAGTGTAAGGATGAACTAGACCAGGAACTACAAAGATTGCCTGTCTCAAACCTAGCGCTGCATGGAGGGGAAAAAGTTTTTCTCTGAGAATCTGTGACCACAGCTAGCTCTCACATAAGTTTTCAGTTCTAACATGGCCTGGTGATCCAAAATAACTCATCTAGGAAGTTAGTGGTCCAGAAAACCTCAACTCAGAATTTTGTTTACAAAGACCTGCTCTGCAGTTCCAGTTCTGGGTAAGATGGAATAAACACACTCCACCCTGTCTATCCCACTGAATGCATTGACAGAATGCATGAACAGAAATAGTAGATAGAACACTATTGACTCTGAAAAGGAAATAGTAACGGGCATATTAGGTGAGGAAAAAAATATTCAAAATACTACTAACAAGAAGTGTACCGTTTTTCCTCCTCCAGTCCTCCCACTGCTGGCCCCAAACATGAGCACACTTACAGAAAGTGCACGGCACAGTGGGTACCTAAAGACCCAGCTTTCTGGATAAAGGACTAAAAAGAGGAGCCCCAGGGAACCAGAAAGTAAAGTTGTATATGAATTCCTGGGCTAACCCCCAAGTGCATACATGGATCTGATTCTAAAAAGCCTACCAGAGAGTTTGAGAACAAACTAACCAATAGACTAAATCTGGGTTCTGGAATGGCCACTGGGTGGTACATACATGGGACAGATT